CTGCTGATCAACAAACTCGCTACAGGGGAAGAGGAAAAGGTGAATGCTTTCAAAATGTTTTAGGAATTTGTGATTTTGATATGATATTCACATTCGTATGGGCCGGTTGGGAGGGTATAACACATGATTCGCGAGTTTTGAAAGAAGTTGCATGTAACCCGACTTCAGGCTTTCCGTTCCCTCCTCCAGGTTTGTAATTCTTTTTAAATTTATTCTAAAATACGATTTTAAATTTCTATATATAATACTTCCTTCACTCATGTGTATAGATAAATATTACCTCTGCGATGTTGCATACACCAACACTCGTGGATTTATGACTCCTTACCGCAACACGAGGTATTGGTTAGCCGATTATCGACGACGACGTGCGTTAACTAAGGAAGAAAAATTCAATCATGTACATGCGCAACTCACCAATGTTATTGAACGTGCTTACGGTGTTTTGAAGGCGAGATTCTCAATCCTAAAGCGAATGGCTCCTTTTCCTTTTTCAGTGCAAAGAGATATAGTCGTTGTTTGTTTTGCAGTCCACAATTTCATAAGGAAATGCGATATTCATGATGAGTTATTTATGGCGTTCGAGGAGAACAATGCTCAAGCACAAGGGGGAGAGAATGATGGCCAAAACGTACACGATATGGAATGGGGTTCACAAGGCAATGAATACATGGATAATTTGCGTGACCAGATTGCGAATCAATTGGGGTAAAATTAAATTTGTAGGATTTTATTTGGATTTTAGTATGATTTTATGGATTTAAAAATATTTATGTTTGATTTGGATTTGTGTTTAATTTTGATTTATGCTAAATTTGGATTTTATATGGTGTTTATATTTTTTTTAATACATATTTAAGAAATTTATTAGGTTATTTTCTAAACAAACAGTTGATTCAATAAAAAATAAAACAGAAGGGTAAAATGGTCATTTTAATAATTCATCACAACAATTCAGAGGTCTCAACCAAACAACATGTTAAACATTCAGCTCTTAAAATTTCAGACCCTCTTAAAAATTCAGATCTCTTAAAAATTCAGATCTTAAAAATTCAGATCCTGCCAAACAGCCCCTTAGATATAATGAGTTTTAGTTAGTTGTAGACTTGTAGTTCAATTAAAAGAGATTGATTAGAAGAGTTCAACATCCACCATTCCACATCTCTCGTTACTAGTCCACCACTGATGGTAATTATCAAAATCAGATCATATTTAAACAATAAATATATGGTTATGCATTGATAATCTACTTAAAACAATAACAACCAGATTTGACATTAAATTAGGAATTGCTTTCTCAACAATAACCGTTAAGTTTAACCACGATGGGAAAGAAAATCAAAGTTTGTAACCTTAAATAAGAAAATAAAATGAAAGTTTGTAACCTTAAATAAGAAAATAAAATGAAAGTTTGTTCACTAAAATGGAATATTTTGAGTTTAGTGTATTCTTCTAATGCAAAAGAAGTTGATTAAATTAAAGCTTATCATCATTATTGTTTGTATTTGAGGCAATTACTAATCTAGCTAAATTTTTTAATGACTTCTCTGTTTGTAGCCAAAATTTAGGATTTAGCTCAAAATAATCATCAAAACCATAGGTTATTGAAATAATCTACCGTTTCGCTTAAATGGATTGCGGTTTCAGTTCTAATACTTAAGAATTTTTTTTTTCATAATTCACTACGAAACTGTAGACCATTTTATGGTCTATGGTTTCCTCTGAATGGTCTACTGTTTCCCAAACCGTAGACCTTAAAATGGTCTATTGTTTCGTCTAAAAAGCTACGGTTTTGGTTTTTTTTGGGTATTTGACTACTATTTGTAACAAAAATAACAACATTACACTGTATACAAGCTACAAAAAAAAAAAAAAAAAAATGAAAACCATAGGCACATAAGAAACCTACTAAATGCGTCTTGATAACATTTTTTCTCGCTTAGGTATGGCTCCTACAAGCAATTAATGCACATTTTGTGCATTGAACGCTTGTATATCGTAGGTTTCTTACGAACCTACTGTTTTATTTTATTTTTTTCGTTTTTTTCCAAAAAAAATGCATCTATTAAATCTCCTACTAACAAGAAAAACAAAAAAAAATTTCAAGATTCGGAGACACATATGGCTGTTCTTTGAAAGGTCCATTAAGAAAGAATTTCGAACTTCAGACACACACAAAATGAGCAAAACTAAAAATTACAATTTTATATATTGTGAGCCAATAGGCCCTGAAAGAGTAGACGGTCCACCAAAGAGTAGATGACCCACCAAACAGTAGCCCATTTCCCCAAAATAGTAGTCAACCGAACGTTGACCGTAGTCAACACAGCGTTGACCGTAGACTAACTTAATGAGCTACGGTTTTAAAGGCTAGTTTGGATAAATGTTAATTTTTGGCTAAAAATTTAATAAATAATTAACGATTTTGGCTAGTTTTGTAATTATCTCTTTGTATTTTTCGTAGTGCAAAAGAAGTTGATTCAATTAAAGATTATCATCTTTATTGTTTGTTTTGTTTTATTAGTCTAACTACTTTTTTTTTTGCTGAATAGACCAAATATATATACTGGTTTGTTTCTGAAATTTTTTCAAACTAATAGGAAATTAGGATAATTATTATTTGTGGTTGGATCTTGGAAGTTGATGATGAATATAGTTTTGTGGTTATGCTCTTGAAGCTGCAATGAAGATGTTGCTCATGATGAGATCGGATCTTGGTGTATTTGTATTAATGATATTTTAATCAAGCATCAAGTTTTGGAGATTATTGTTAAAAGTAGGCACTAACTTATCTAGTCATAGACATTTGATATATATTTGATAATAATGTGTCTAACAAAGTGTTTTTAGTTCAATTTCAGAAATATAGTAACTCGTCATTCTAAAAAAATGATATATATTTGTCGTTTGTAAAAATAATAAAGATATCTATATATTTATATTAATGATTTTGCAATTAATTATTAAGTTCAGTTTAATTACAATAATTGTCATATACATAGTTCTAATTTTTTTAAAAACTTTTGGAACCTGTGAGATTTTATTTAAAGTAACACAGTTCAAGCAAATGGCTAGATAGGAAAACATGGCAAAAACATTAAAGAAAAGGGAACACCAATTTACCCAACTACGATGCCCTTTTTGACCTCCTATATTTAAACCACATGAAAACTAACTAGATAATATCGTCAGCAGTCTTAACAGTCTTCGCAGGAGAGGTGATAATCCTGTTAAACAACTTGTTGTTTTTCGCTTTCCATAAACACCTTAACATATAGCCGTCAAAAATTACCTCTTTTTTGAACCAAAACTTACAAGATCATGAGCTTTTCCCTTCAACTTAACAAAAGTTGAAGATGACTTGCTTTGCCCTTGATTTGGGAAACGGATCTTCAGCTTGATTGTCCCCAGCCAGTCATCCTTCCAAAACAAGGTATCATCCCCGACTTTAATTATGCTATCCCATACCCCTATTATTATTAAAAAAAAAAAAAAAAAAAAAAAAAAAAAAAAAAAAATCTCCATGCATTCCTTGGGCTTTTGGTTAAGATTGTGAATTCTTGTGATGGGTATGTTGACAAAGAGAGTTTTTTTGGTTTTTATGTCTCCACCACCACTTAACCAACAAAGCAATGTTTAGAGTCCTAAGAGAACCCAACCCATGCCCTCTTTCTTCTTTAGGTGCGAGAACCCTTTACCCAAGCTACCCAATGAAAATTTGATTTTCCATCGGTCCCACCCCAAAGGAATTGCCTATGTATCTTTTCAAGATGTTCAATAATGCAAGAGGGGGTTAGGGAGGTTACTAAGAACTGGCTTAACGAGGGAGTGATGCCTCCAAAATGATAGTGTTATATATTTCCAAGCAGAGTGTATGGAGTGAAAACGATCAATTCTAGTAGTATTGCAATGTTTCTAAGAATCATGTTAAGTTAACTCCACCCGAACTCTCAAGTAGTTAAAACTAAGGAAGCAGGTTCACAATCAAGGATCTGTGTCTAGGTAGAAGTTCCTCTCAAGGAAGAACCGATGCCAAATACTTTGGATTTATGAAAAATCACCTTCAAAACTTGAAGTCGCATGGAAGCATCTAAGTATACGGGCTATGTTTTTCACATTGTTTCAAACTTGAAGTCGCATTGGATTTGTGTAAAGTACTCGTTTGTATTCATTCAAATGTTTTATTTTGTCCAAAAAAAGAAATAATTTTTGTACATACAACACTTATTATTGTAGACCAAAACCATTTATATACTCAACATTTTAACCATAAAACACTTTGAACAATAGGTGAAAAAAACTCATAAATGAATTTTCAGGCAATCTAATTAATGTTGATCATATTTTATAATTCACTAAAGGATTTATTACTTATTTAAGTATTACTGATCCATTTTCCACAAAATTTTGTAATAATGTTGTATTTTATACAAAATATATAATGATATTCTGGACTATGACCAAAAAATACAACATATGATTTGGTAATCTTCTTAACCAGATAACTATTTCATGTACTTAGAACATAATCAAAATAGAGGTTTCCAACTTTCCATTCAAGTTCATAAACATTAACAGACTGGTCAAAATCTCAAGATCTATAGCGAACGTGTTCAATTTCATTGTTGCTACTAGAAAAACTAATCATCCAAATCAAAATCTACATCTTGCTAAATAATACGCTCCATTTTCAGTTAAGAAACTTCAAGCAACAAAAAATCCATTCGACTGATAAATCTGGTGTCTCTGAAAAAGAACAAGTGCACACTAAGCTCTTCAACACTTTTCGTAACATGTTTTTCCATATTTGCAAAATGTTTTTGTCAGCAATGGTTCAAGAACTGAATTAAGTCATTTTGAACTATGTTTTCAACACTTGCAAATTGGATAATCAAGAATCAAGCAACAAGCAACAAGAAAAACTTATAAACTCAAAACACGAAATGTAACTAAATTTCAGTGAGAACAGGATAAACGTACACAATTTCTCATCGGAATCTTCAAAATTGCCTGCCAGCAGCATCACCAACCAACGGCAATTTCGGTGTCCTTCCCAAAATCGAAAACACCAAGCTATAAACAAAGCAAATAACAACAAACACAAAAATCACATTGTGGCTTATCATCAAAATCTTTCCCCCGATCCCATGTGGCCCTGGATTGAATATTCTCTGAACCAACATCGGTAGAACCAACAGAACATCGAGCACCACCGCCTGCATCGCATTGAAACGAGCGTAACGGCTGGCATTCGTGTTACGGACAACGCCAATGTACAGCAACAAGAAAGCGAGGTAGCTTGCGTAAGGAATTGAACGGTAGAATGAGAGTAAAGGTAGCAAGGGCTCGAGAGCGAGGCCTAGGGTTCTGGGGTATTGGGCGAAGAGGAATCTGCCGTATTGGAGACCGTTGAAGAAGGGGAAAAAGTATGCTGCGGCTGAGATTAATCTGTCGGTGACCGGAGTTGAGTTGTTTGACGCTGAGATTATTGTGCGTCGGCGTGATTGAGCGGCGGAATTTGAGCGGAGTGATAGCGATTGTGGTGGTGAAAGTGAAAGGATGTTTGATCTAAGAGGGTGAATCGAGATAGTTGACCGAAGGGTTTTTTGTGGTGGTGGTGACAAGGATAGGCGGAGGAGGGGTATGGCTGCCATCGTTAGCGGTGGCGTTCTCTTCAGTTTCGAGGGAGAAAGGGGGAATCAAGAGAAATGGAACAACCGTGCAAGGGTTTTAGAGATGCAGAGAGGATAACAGAAAATGTTTTAAGATGTAAACAGAATTACAAATATGTCCTTTCTCTCGAGTACACCTGTACAATACCATCAAACGTTATTCTTTGAATTTAGGGTTGTATACGTGAAAAGCACTAGGTAGTTTCAGTTTTATCCTTATGAGGTCATTAACTTAGATAATGTAATTTTATTAGGAGATTATGTTAAATTCTAAACGATTAGAACTTTATCCAGGTCATGTGGAGGTTTTTGCCTACTTATTCCTTCCATGTTATTAAATCCATATGGATTCATCAAGTTAAATGAGAAATGTCATCTTTTCATAGGAAACAAACAAGCGATAAAACCTGAAGCTAATTTGAGCATCAAATAGCCAAAAGTAAAAGGTCAAATGCAGACATATTTACATCGAGACACATATATACACCTAAGAACGTGAAGAACAAAACTTTAAAATTTGATTTCCAAGAGGCATTTAATATAAAAACAATACATGGAAAAGTCAAAGATGATCGGATATTGAGGTCAACAGAAACACAAACTTGTTAAAAATGATGAGTCCTCGAGAAAAATAGACTGCATACCGTGATTATCAACCACACATTTCACATGATTTGCAGGGGCGGAGGCACCAGGGGGGCTGCCGGGTGTTCTGCCCCCCAATCTCTTTTCATTTGTTGCTATATTATAAGTCTGTTGATAGAAAAATTAGCCTACATCCGTTAATTAACTTTGTTTGAGCCCCTGTTGTCATATTATAAGCCCACTAATAGAAAAATTAGCTCACATCCGTTAATTAACTTTGTTTGAGCCCCTGCCACTTTTAAAAAACAATTATTTAATATATTATACAAATTATGAGGGCTCATCCCCATGTCTATTTTACAATCACCGCCTCACCATATATATATATATATATATATATATATATATATATATATATATATATATATATATATATATATATATATTATTTAATTGGTTATTAGATATGATCTTATGAATCAATACACACACCAAAATACTCCATTGTTTAATAAAAAAAGGGTTGTTAATCGACGCTTCATCAAGGGATCAACTTTCAATCGCAGCTATTGTTATTTATCGAAGTGGTTAAATTTGTTTTTCGGCAACACTGTTACAGCGATTTCAGTTATTTAATTAAGTAGGTAAATTTTATTTTTTATTGCATGTTTTATTTATTGTTATTTGTAATTAATAATTTAATTATGGTTTTATAATTTGGTTTATTATAATTATAAATTTATAGGATAAATAATGATATTATCCTTAAATGTTGAGGATATATATAAATTGGCAACATCATATTATCCTATGGACTTTACGGAGCACGAAAGGAATTTATTGAAACTTGAGTTACAACATTATGAACTAGATGTGCAAAATCACCCACAATTGAAAAATTCTTCTATAATTTCTGAGTTGTGTAGAGGCCTACATGAAATAGGAAAATCAGGTACTTATCATTTGCTTGATAGATTGATTCGTCTTATATTGACTCTCCCTGTTTCTACTGCGACATCTGAAAGAGCATTTTCAACATTGAAAATTGTGAAAACACGACTTCGAAATACCATGAATGATGATTTTCTTAAAAGTTGTTTGCTTGTTAACATCGAGAGAGAGATTGCTGATACATTTCCTACGGATGATATTATAGATGATTTATATTCCATTAAACAAAGACGGACACAACTTAAAGTGCATAAGGTACTATTTCTTATGTTTATATATATTTTTTTAATTTTGTAAAATGAACCATATGTATCTATGTTATAATTACTTATTTTAATACTTGCAGGTTAATGGATGAATATGAGTCGATGCTTTTAGTTAGTTGAAAACGTTTGAAGATGCAGGCTAATGGAGACAAATTTTTAATTCTTTGTCATTTTTTTTTAAAAATTTAGACTTATTACTTTATGCGGGTATAACATTATATTTTAATATATTATTACGATGTGAGCCCCCTTAATCTTAAATCCTGGCTCCTCCCCTGATGATTTGGATCAACCCCATATTCTAGTATTAAAGATGTGATTGTTGAGTTGAAAACTGCATTAGGGGTGATTTGGAAACAACTCAAAAATCAATACATTTTATGAATTATAAATGAAGAAATTTCACAAACAAGTGATATGATATGATACATGAAGGGCTTTGACAATTCCATCGATAATTCTAGGTCTAGTTAGTGGTTTATCTCCTTTAATGTTGACAAAAATGTCATATTTTTTGTCGAGCTTCCAAAGTACTTCACTACACCTCTCGACGCATTTAATTGATACAAATAAATATGGGTTGATGAATTAATCAACATTTTGAGTTTATTAGAACTCGATGTCATAAATCATGAAAAAACTTGTTAGAACCTGTGGCTATGTTGTTGGATTGTTGACCTCGTCTTTGTTCTTTCGTTTTCTTGATGTCCAAAGCTTATATAAGACAATCCCAAAAACAAAAAGAAGAGAAACAGTCTACCGATGTTTTGATTGGAGGAGGAAAATGAAGAGGGTGTATGAGCCCAAGTTGAGTTCTTAGTTTACTTACAATGGTGTCTTCTATAAAGCTAGTGCAGTCGTAGGAATAACCCGATTGAATGGATTGGTGAGATGATGATTCATTAACTTCATCTAATTGATTTGAATTTAGCACCCATAAAATTCGTATGAATAACTCAATTGAATGGATTGCAAATGATGATTGAGAAATCATTTGAACGTGATTTGAAACTTGAAACACATAGAAATCAAAATCGAAATAGAATAAAAAAAACAAAATGGGGAAAAGGATTTAAGAAACCTAAGTAAAGAACAAGGGTTGATTTGGTCAATCAAGATTTGAATCTCGATGTGGGTATTGCAGAAAGTTGAAGAACACACAACCTAGATTGGATAGTTTTGGGAGCAAACAAATGGGATTGAACTTGTGAGCAGTAGCAATTTCCATTTGTAAATTGATCTGATTTTGTTGCCATGAAACTTGGATGAAGTGGTTTTAAGAAAGAGAAAGTGTGAGATAGGTCCACATATATTCAAGAAGTTGATGAATTATATGAGTGACAATAAAAAACGCACAAATATCTTCTCTTTCAGATTCCGTCAGATACAGTAATAAGAGATCCCGATGAGCATGTTAGCTTGACGAAAGGGTTTTTTTCAAGGAGAGGTCCACATCATCATTATTAATCTAAGTGGAGTCCACATCAACTTTATTAGTCTAAGTGGAGTCCACATCAACTTATTAGACTGAGACACCGTTTGAAATTTGACATGACAGAATGACTTAATAAAACTATCATATCTACTTTAAATGTCTTAAGAGGGTTGAATTAACATTGGATGACCAATTAAGAACATAAGTGATACTTGGTTGGGTTTTATCCAAATAACCATTTTTTATAAAAGAATACATATAGAGAAAAACTTAATTACTATTTTGGTACCTAGTTGCTAATTTACAAGATTATAGTTTGGTTTTTATAGTTTTTAATTTTAAAATGAAATGGATTAATTACACTTCTGGTCCTATAGCTTACAATATAATAACTGGGTTTTTGTACCAATAGTTTTTAATTTAAAATTTACATTTTTGGTCCTATAATTTAATTCTAAAAGAAAATAAATTAACTACATTTTTGGAGTTTTGGTCTTATAGTTTTAATTTAATAAATTAGAGTTAAGGTCCGTTTTGAATTCTAAAATTATATTAAGAAATGAGAAATTACAATTTTGGTGTCTATGGTTTGTATTGTTCTCTTATTTAGTCAAACTTTTAAAAAATTTACATGGCTAACCATTATGGTTGGTGTTACCCTCTGAAGCTTCAAACCTTCCCCTAAGAGACATATTTATGTTACTAGTAGAGTAATGTACCAGTAGACTCGATGTCCTTAATTACGATGTCAAGTGATTAAGAGACAATTTGCAATAGTATTCAAGACCGAAAAGTCTTTACGATGTAACTTATGTTGTGTATTGATTATGACATACTTAAGGTTTTTTATTTTTAAACAACATCTATACTCAAGAAATTTTAATAAAATGGGATATTTTCCGTAAACAAAGATAACATGGTTTTGAAATTGTAAAGAAAAGTTTTTTTTTGTTATGGAAATAGGGGATGTCACAGTTGTTATTAGAGCATTAGTTTAAGTGAACTAGGAATTTTGATAAATTCTTGACTTAAAATTAGAGTGTCAATTGAAGATGGTGAGGTGTGTGTCTAGTATATTTTAGGTTTTATACCTAAATTTATATTATATAGACACAGACACTATAATACTTGAAGCTATAGGCCTTATTTGTTATTATGTGTTAATAGATTTGTTTTATAGCATGTCGTAGGTTGTGTACTTTACTTGCTATTATGTGAACTAGCATACTTTAGGAGAATTGCCTTATATGCTAATATGTGTTAACTGATACGTATTATAGCATGTCTTAGGTTACATACCCAGATTGCTATTACTTTAAAAGATTTAAGGCCAATTGTTGGCCTTGATTTGGGAAAGGAAATTTTTGCGTACAAGATTCTAAACATATAATTCGGCATTAGAAATGGTATGTAACATTTTAGGGTGATAAGAAGACTTACGATAATTAACATCGGTAATGGGTGTCATGTAACGCCCGCAGATTCGGGCTAATCAATTTAAAGACAATAAGCGTCAAAAATGACTTTTTATAGAAGATTATCTGGAGTAAATCATCTTAACCAATTTATAGTATATGTCACAAGGGTTCCGTACATATAAAGAACGTCGAAATCCGAGTTATAACGAATAAGTTATGACTCGTCGAAGTTTTACTGGTAAAACCGACACGACACCGGGAATCGTAAAAAGTGATTTTTTGATAAATTACTTTTTAGCCTTAGAGGTATAAATGAAAGTTTTAGTA